TCTGGCTCTTTGGGTGCCCCCTCGGACCCCGGTCCGGAGCGAGCGGGCACGCAGGAGCCAAGCCCGGATCCCACCACCGCCTCAACCAAAGCCGAACCGGTCCCCGACGGCGGCCAGCGGCAGGAGGAGGCGCCAGCCCCAACCCAGGAGGACGCTGGCGCAACCGAGGCGAAGCCCGAGCCCGGGCGCGCACGCAAGGATGAGCCTGAGGTGGAGGAGGACGACGAGGACGACCTCAAGGCCGTGGCCACCTCCCTGGATGGCCGCTTCCTCAAGTTCGACATCGAGCTGGGCCGAGGCTCCTTCAAGACGGTCTACAAGGGGCTGGACACGGAGACGTGGGTGGAGGTGGCGTGGTGTGAGCTGCAGGTGAGTGTCGGTGCCCACAGGTGGGCTGTCCGCAAATGCGTCCTTGGGTGTGTCCTTGCTCTTGCGCAGGGCTTTAGGCAGCCCTGGGGATGGTGGTGACTAGTGTCACCCTCTGTGTGGGTGTCCGGCAGGACATGTGTCGTGTGTATGGATACCCGTGTTGGTGCTGTTTCTGCACAGGTTGAGGCTTGTCATCTTGGAGGTCAAGGCTGGCCATGTGCTGTGCCCAGTTGTGCCCATGGTGACAAAGGCACTGTAGTGGGCAGTGGAGCTAGGTCCTGTTAGCCCCTGCCCCTTGGGGGTCCTCAGAACCCACTTTTATTGACTCAGTAGAGACTGGAGGTTGTGAGAGAGAAGGCAGTGTGTGGGCCCTTTTCTAGGTGGCTTGGAAGCTCCCAACTGTCCTCAGATTAGCATCTTCCTTTGCCCTGCAAGATGTAGGTGTGATAGCTGCAGATGCTTGCAAGGGCTTCCTCTGACTCAGGAGTGATGCTTGGTGGCTTGGGGCCCTGCTGGCCAAGGCCTAGAAGCCCCGTCAGCAGCTTCCTTGTGCTCTAAGAGCCTGGTTTGTCCGCAAATGAGATGTGAGTGAAGACCATGAAAAATGCCTGCCTTCTCTTTTTCTCTCTCCCCTTCCCTCTCCCTTACCCCCTTTTATTCCTTCCATCTCTATCTCTGTCTCTGCCTCTTTCCCCCTTTCTTTTTGGAAGCAGAGGCTCAGCATGCATTTTTCATAACCTTGCCCTCATGTTAGCTGTATCAGGCCAGGCCCTGAAGATTATATAAACCGCAACCCTAGCCGTCCTGGGGCCAGCCTTGGAAGAGGAGGCAGCTCCTGTCACAAGGGGTGTTTACAGGCCCTCCCTTACTGGGAAGGAGGGGCAGCTGTCAGGCAGGGGCCAGCTGGGAGAGTGCTGGCTGGCCGTGTAAGCTTACCCTGCTGGCCTGTAAAGTTAGCTGTCCTTCCAGGGCTGGTGCTTCCTGGGCAAGCCTGAGTGAGCTGGGTACCAGGGCTGCCGTCCACTGCAGGATGCCTGCACTTTGGGCCCAGAAATGGGATTCAGGTGCTGTGCTCTTGCGCCTGCAGGGTGCTCGGCATGCGTGTACGAGCTGGGCTCATTTTGAAGGTGTTTGAACTGCCCTCAGTCCTTCAAGGCCCTGTCTCCTCACTGCCCTTCGATTCTGTCATGACAATACGGCGTTTCATGAGAGAGTCAGTGGTGTCTTTGGGGACTTTCAGCAGGAGTTGAGGTTCTTTCTCCCTCATGGTTCCTGTGAGAATCACCCCTGTCCTTTGCCTGGCATATCCTAGACCTTGCAGAGAGGCAGCCTTGATGGTGCAGAATGGGTGTGGATGGTGGGGAGCATGGGATCTGGGAGTGTGCCCCTACCACCTGAAGAGGCACAGAGGAGAGGATCCAGAAGGGGAAATGATTCTCTGTTCTGGAGAACGGCATGATTCTTGGCTCCCCGTTTTCCTGCTCTTGCCAGATGACCGGTGTGGCTCTCTGAGCACCTGCTGGTGCCATTACTATGGAATGTCACTAAGGGTAGAGGACAAAGAAGGGGTGCCACGGCAGGCTGGGTAGGAGATAGACTTCCATAGTCCAAGCCTGCCTATCTGACCGGGGCATTGCAGAGGCGGGGGACTCTTGTTAATTCCCCTTCCCTTTAAGGCAAGACATGTCAGTCTTGACCTTCTTGTGGGCAGGGCAGCAGAAGGTGGGACCTGACTGGTGGCCTAGGGTCTTTAGATACTTGGCTCTAGGTTAAAAATGGGGTAGCTTTTGGACTTTCATGCTGTCCCTTGCTTGGGGAGACTGGAACCCCTCAGTAGGGAGGGAAACCGTCTTCACACCTGTTTCGGTGAGTGGGGCTGTTCATGTTCAGCTCAGGCTGCCATGCACGGCACGGGGTCACTTTCCTCTATCTGACCCACCCTGGGAAGGCTCACATGACAGGGACCTCGACCGACTTAGAGCGCTCTAGATGAGAGCCTCTACATCTTAAGTCATACCGATGATGGGATCGTTGGATGACTGCTTGATACCAACCAGGAGGTGGCTGGATGTCGCCAGATTTGGGAGGATGGCAGAAGCCTGACTGAGCCATGGGAGAAGCCCACCCAGATGCCCCTGTGTGGTGTCCTGGGCTGAGGAGATAGTGGGGCAGCAGGATTCTACAGATACCCAGATCAGGATACAGGCTAGGAGAAAGGAACCAGAGTCCTAGTCCTGGGTGGGGGTGGGATCCCCATCCATCATATGCAGAGCATGCCAGCAGGGTATGGGCTATAGGTTTCCTGGTGTTGGACCCAAGAGGGAGCCTTGTTTATCCACCATGTACTGGGTTCTTCCCGAACCTCTGAAGTCTCCAATGTTTCCAACTGTTGGGGAGGGTTCCTGGACTTTGGGTGGCATGGTGAAGGGAGGGTCTGCCAGGACGTTGTTTTGCTCCCCGGGAGGTTAGCCTCCACTGCTTTCTCTGGACACCCAAAGGGCTTTGGGCTGTTTACTCAGGTGCCTGCTGAGTGACTGCTTCCTTTCCTCACCCCCAGTGGTGGGCCTAGCGTGGCCTCTACAGTGGTAAACTGCTTGAAGTCTCTTTCCAGGGTTCCCTGCCAAGGGGTGGGATCAGCACAGTCACAGGCCTTGTGAGTAGCTTAGAGGACACTGGGTTCCCTTTAGTGACTGACTCTGTGTTGAAAGGGTTTGACAGGGAGAGCGGTATGTGCTTGTTCCTCATCAAGGGCAGGAAGATGGCCCACCTTCTCAACTGCAGACATGCCGGGCTGGAGCCTGGAGCCTGGATTTTTTTTTTTTTTATGCTGGGGGTGGGGAGGCATTTAAAAATATTTTTACCCCGTCGTCTATTGTTTGAATGCACTTTTACTCCTGCTAGCAGAGTTCCTTAGAGTGGCAACGGAGGAAACAAAAACATGCCCAGAATCCTCCTTCCTCTTCCTTTCTCCCTGCTTTCTGGGAACTCTGTGTCCCCTGCTGTGTGCCCCAATCTGCCACAGAAGTCTTGCTGCGTGCTGCTATTGCTGGGAGGGAACTGTCTCTAAGAGGGGTCTGAGCCAGGTGTAGGTCCTTCCCTGATGTGGAGGTGCGCATCCCTTGGTCCTGGCAAGCCCAGCTTGCCCCTAGCAGAATGGTATGAGGCCTAAGGAGGAAGTGTGGGGGCGGGAGGCTTTGTCTAAGCCTTGGTTGCTAAGCAGGGAGAAGACAGCCTCAGGGTGCTCCAGCCCCTAAGTGGGTCCTGCTGTGTGTTATGGGCACCTAGGAAAGCTGTGTGCTCCCACCTCATGCTCTGGCCAGATCTAGAGTGTCCTCAGCTGCCGTGCTGGGAGCACGTGTCACCCAAGGGCTCATCCTGTGTGGCTTAGGTGTTGGAAGACAACTCAAGTACCCCTGAGACTTTTCAAAGGGTTCTCTCTGCCTTCATGGCGTCTAGGCTTGAGATGGAAGTCCCAGGCCCAGGGCTGGGAGAGCCCCCAGGGTCATGCTGTGCTGTGATAACCTTGTGTAAGAGGCCTGGCTGCTAACTTACCTGCTCTCTTCCCTGGCCCCATGGTGTGGGAACAGGAGGCAATGAGCCACAGTCCCAGCAGGCAATGGTGCTTGTAGGGAGAGGACACTCTGAGACAGCATGGCCTGATTTGGCTGGCGGTCACCTGGCCTTCTTCCTCTCTTTTTGTTTTTTTAATCCCCGGAGTGCCTAATTTTGTTCAAAGAGCTATAATTGACAACTGGTTTGTGTTTAGCGCTGAGCTCACCTCCTTCGTGCATGCTGACCGCAGTCTTGGTTTGGTTGGTGGGAAAGGTTGGCTCTGGCTGCCTGAATGGCCTGTGGGTATGGCTTTCCCATCAAGTGTAGAAATGTGGGCACCTGTACTTGGGCCCCTCCCCCCATCCTCACTCCTGAGCGGTGGTGCGAGGTGTGTGCGGCGAGCCATGTGGTCGGCTCCGGTGAGCAGCACTCCAGGCTGCGGTGCGAAGTGTGTGCGGCGAGCCATGTGGTCGGCTCCGGTGAGCAGCAGTCCAGGCTGCGGCCATCGTTCCTGGATGATGAGGCCAGGCACCCATAGAGGCAGGTGCTTCGACAGATGGATGCAAACCTGATGGGTGTTCTCAGAGGCTCAGGCCTTTGCAGGTGCCCGGCTGAGTCTGATTTAAGGCCAGATCTCCGTGATACTCAGGCATGATGGCTGTTTCTCTTCTCAGTCCCCATTGAGGACCCGTTCTCACCCGTGAGGGTAAAACGGCACGTGCCGTTTGTCTGACCTGCTGTCCTTGAGCTGGTGTTGCTACATCTCTGGTTACCCAGATGCCTGTGAGGCAGCTAGATCCACTTCCCGTGGCGCTGGCCTGGGACACTTTGTGCAGATAGTCACATCTCTCTGTTCTGTGTGTGTGTGCTCTCTAGGATTGCTGAGCGCTTGCACCCTGGATTTTCCTCCTGTTAAACATGGACAGGTGTGCAGTCCTAAGACTGAGGCCCAGGCAACCTAAAGTAGTTACTGGGATAGCAGATAGGCCAGGTGGGGATTTGGGGAGGGGGCACTGAGGACTGGAGAGGAGTTCAAGGTGATGTGTGATTGGCTGGGCCCTGAACTGGGACCAGCCACAGAACCTGGGTGTGGGCGTGCTGGCGGTGAGGATGGGGCTAGTGACTGCAGGGTCACGAGAGACGTCTGAGGCAAGGATGGCTCCTGTGTACTTGGCCACGTGAGGACCGGGCAGGCTTTGAAGCTTCATGTTTGTAGGGTGCCAGGTAGGGCATGGATCTGCGGATGAGTTGCTACCCAGGAGATAACCTCGAGAAAAGGGAAGATGGTGGTCTTGAACACTGGTTCTCAGCCTATGGGACATGATGCCTTTGGGAGGGTCACATATCAGATATTTAGATTGCGATTCATAGCAGTAGCAAAATTACAGTTATGAAGTAGCAACAAAATCGCTTTATGGTTGGAGTTCGCCACAACATGAGGAACTATA